CCATGGCAACTTATATTTGAATTTCTATAAATTTCTATTTTTAGAGATCACAGTTTAGGATAAAGAAAAATCACAAATATTAAGTACCATTTCATTAACAGAAAATATCCCAATTTTATCATCACTGTACTTCCCAGAAAAGACATTACTGAAGTTATATCGGGCAGTAATGCTAAAAAATTAATAACCACAGTTATTAAGAAAGTTTACCAATACGCAGCCTCACGGCAACCTAAGTGGAGTATGAGTCAGTAGCTAACACTACGAGGCAAAGACTGATGCTCACAGAGTTCTGTCTGGATTTCAGTACAGCCAGGATTTCACTCAGATGTTTTTAGAGTTAGTCATCATTTCAGCTGACACAAAACAAAAGTGTATTTGCCAGAATACTCAGAAAATAACATCTCTGTTTCAGGTGTGGGAAACGTTGAACTGGCAGTAACGTCTCAGTTTCAAGTAATGTTACTATCACCTTACAGTGCTCAAGAGTGATTACTAAGTGCATGCTAGTCCTTAAACACAAATTTACTTTAATGCTTTAAGACTTGTCAGCAATTCTCAAAGCTGTCTCCCTACCTGAAACATCAAGTACAAGGTAGCAGGCCTTGAAGAAAATGAGAACACTGATTTAGACACTGTTGTTACTGCTCTGACACTGCCTTACTCTGGCTGCCTGGGGTTGAAATCAGAATAGATGTTTAAAACCAGGTTTTAAGTTCTAAAAAGGTGAATACCTTACCTTCTAAGGGATTAATATTACTGTTGTGCTGCAATTTTCTATTATAGTGTTAATTACGGCATTCATTTTGCAAACTCAAACTAACTTTACCTGAGCCACTGACAGTCCAGGATGGTCTAACACAGATGGAAAATTTTGAAAGCAAAGCAGTTCTGTGGACTGAAGTGGACTGAAAACCCAAGTGACATCTACAACTCCAGGGTGCAACTGCAGTCAGCACGCCTGCCTTCCTCTTTCTCCTAGTAACTCCCACTTAACATAATCCTCAGTTCTCCAAAGTTAAGTGGAAAGAGTTGCTATCATAAAAGCTGCACATCTGACACTGTCACAAAACAGGAGGTGAAAGACAACCTGCAGGGCAATCACCGCACACAAGTACTGTTTTGTCAGGTAACTGACAGCCACATTTTCCTTAGGATTCAGGCAGTGAAGATGCAAGCAATGTGGGTATGTCATTGATGAGCAAAGTTAGAGACTCATGGTAGTCTTTTTCCTTTATCAAAAATATATTTCAAGTATCAGCTGGAGCCATCTGTCAAGGGAAAACACACTGGGGGCAACCTTCAAAAACATAACACTGGCATTCAGCAAGTGACAGCGGTAACTACAAGGACTTTTACTTTCAGTTTAACTTCACTAAGCACATAGGAGGTACTAACTTTCACATAAACTGCAGCAGGGTGTAGGGCACAACTCAGGAACTCACTTAAAACCACACGCATACAGCTACATCTGCGAGACTGCCAGTGAAATCAGCAGCACTGACCAGGAGACATCCACCACAACTGCACTTTCTGCAGGATGAGGCTCACCTCTGAACGCTTCATGGGAATCCTGACAAATATGCTACAAAACACTTCTTACCACTTTATAATCAACATTCCCAGTAACAAGCTCTTTTTCTTGTATTGCAGGAAGGACTTGCTGGTGATTGCTTCTCTAGTTGTTAAATCTGAGGCACCACTGTTTCTCTCAAAGGAATTACAACTGTTTGCTCCAAAGCCTGGGCTTAGAAAGCAAACTCCCATCGCCACTGACAACAGCAACTAAGAAACAGAACTAAAATGCGAATCATCAAATGAGAAAGTAGTCAGCACCAAGATCTAAAATCCCTATCTGTATACTGGAAACTTGGTACACTCATTCACTGCAGTGTACCCATGTCCTCAGTCACAGAGCCAGGCAGGGTCACCCTGAGAAATCAATGGAGGAAGAGCCAGGGTGACCCCCTGTCACACTTACTTTGTTGAACTCCGATCACCTCCCAGCGCAGACAGAGCGAAGCTGGGCAAGGGCTGAGGTTGCTCTTGCTCTCCCGCATCACTGTAACCACTTCACCCCAAACCCGAGACCTCTGACAGCTGGGAGAGGGATGACGGCCTCCCCTGTCCCCAAATGCACCTCCATGCAGGTGCTCAGCAAGGACAAGGGCACCTTGTGTGCTCATACCCACACACGAACAGGTCCCCCAGAGCACACACCTCCAGACCCCCACTCAAGCCAACGGGGCAAGTACAGCTCCACCACAAGCTCCCTGGGGCATAGCTCCTACCTCACCCCATAAGGGGACACTGGCCTAGCAGGATCACCCCCTCCCTGTCTGAAATTGCCTGCAGATGCAGAGGGGACAAGTACTGCTCCCCCCTGGGGGCTGACACCATCCCCGTGCAGCAGCCCACCAAAGCATCACCTCTGCCCCATGGGGGGCATACCTCCCCACGACGCACCTACATGGCTGCCTCCTATATGGGGCCCCCGGCACCCCTCGGCCTCCCCAGCCACCCCGACAGGAGCGCCGTCCAGCAGCGCTTACCCTGGCAGCCCGTGAGGAGTAGGGGTCCTCGAAGAGTGCCCAGACGCGGGGCTGCAGCCGCCGCCAGCGCCCTCCCTTCCCCTCTCCGGCGGCCCCCACGTCCTCGATGCCCAGCCTCTTGGCGGCCAGGTCGTCGTCGTCGCCGTCCGCGGGCGGCTCTCCCGTTAGCAGGTCAGGCGCCTCGAAGATGTCGAGAGCCTCCTCGGCGTCTCGGTGCTGGCGGTAGGTCATCCAGCAGCAGGGCTCCACGTCGGTCTCGTCGATGCCCCAGAAGGCCAACTCCTCCTCGAAAAGCGGCCCGCAGACGTCGGCGGGGCAGTGCAGCTTGCCGGTGCGGTAGTAGTTGAGCACATAGGCGAAGACCCCCGGGTGCCGGTCAAAGAAGAACTCGCTGGCGCCGCCGCCGCCCCGGGGGCTGCAGCCGGTGCCGGGCTCCGGGCAGCCTCCGGCCGGCGCCGGCGGGTTGGGGTTGGAGGGCGGCGGTGGCGGCGGCTCTTCGCCGCCCGGGGACTCGCTCTGGGACTCGCAGGCGAGCAGGGCCAGGCGGGTCCCCGGCAGGGTCTTCAGGGTGCTGCGGTAGGTCTCGTGCCGCGTGCCCCCCACGTTGAGGATCACCCTCTCGTTGTCCTCGAGCTTCCCCATCGCTCCGGGTCGGACATGACTGGGGAGGGCGCGGGAGGCGGCGGCGGGGATGGGGTCGCCGGCAGGTCCGCGGCGGACGAGCTGCTGCCTTAAACGCAAACAGAAGAAATCGAGGAGAAGCCCCCCCCTCCCCCCCCCCCCAAGCATCACCAGGAGGAGGTGGGGGGGGTGGGGAAAGCTATTCCCCGCCGTCACCGCCTACCCCAGCCCGCTCCATCCCCCCGATCCCCCGCCACTCCGCACCTCCGGGAGAGCCCGGCCCGCCGCCGGGCAGCTCAGCACGCTCCTCCCGCGGAGGGCTCTCTGCCGCCGGCCTGCCCCGGGCAAGGCTCCGGGTCTCTGCCCTCGCCTCCCCTGAAAGCGGCTGCCGGAATGGCAATGCCGCTTCTCCCCACCCCCTCCTCCCTCGCGGGGCTGCGAGAACCGAGCTGATGGAATAGAAAGTGTGCGGTTAATTATTTAAGGGGCATCTATCTTTTATTATCATAACAGCCTAACCAGGGAAAAAAAAAAAAAAAAAAAGACGGATTAGAGGCTCGCCTTCCCTCCCACCCCCCATTTTTTGAGAGATGGATTGCTTTTCGGGAGGAAATACCAAAACACACACCCCCCTCCCCAGTAAGCCCGGCAGCCGGCACACCCTTGGAAAGGCTGCCTGTACGGAGCTCGGATCCCACTTTCTCAGACAAATCACGAAGACGAGAGCGGATGGCGGGGAAGAGCCGGCGGAGCAAGCGCCGCGCCGCTGGGGGCTTCTCCACGCTTCCCCACTTCCCCACTTCCCCCCGCCAGCCCCACAGTTACCTTGGCCGGAGCAGAAAACGCGGATCCCCTTCTCGGTCGGGCTCCGGTGGTGGCTGGCGGCGGACGGCGCTTCCCGGCCGCTCTCCCTGCCTCCCCGCCAGGCGAGAGCTACTTGTTGTTGGGCTTTGTTAGGTTTGTTTGGGCTTTTTCCGCGTTCAGGTGGCTGCTTCACCTTCCTCCATGCTCAACTCCGAAAGGCGTAACAGCGGCTCCCGCCGCCCGCTCGGAGATGCCGCTCGCTTCGTTTTAGGAGAGGGACGCAGCCTTTCCCCATCGGGGCTACGAGCGAGCACCGCCGGCCGAAAGCAGAGCCATGGGCGGCGGGCAGGGTCTCCTCGGGGACCGGCGCTGTCGTAACCTCAGCGCCCCTTTGGGAAGAGAAGCCCAAACGTGCAAAGGCACCTTATTTGGGGCTGAAGCTCCTCCCCGGGGCGGGGGCAGCCCTCCCTCCGTATCCCTCCAGCCCCCTGATTCCAGTCCCGAGGGGCGGAGGCAGGTGACAGCAAAAGCCACATCTCTCCGGGAAAAGCAGCCCCACCTCTGCTGTGCTACGTGGAGGTTCGGTTCACTTCACTTCAGGAAAACCCTCGCGAAGGGTTTGGGGCTTAGAGTAGCAGGTAAAAAAACAGCGCCCAGCTACAGGTGACTGCTGAGAGGAGCTGCTCAGCCTCTCGGAGAAGGTCTTTCTCACGGCTGGTCGGTGCGTGCAGTACCTGCGGCGGCCAAGAGCATCCCGGCTCCCAGGAGGAGCCCCCGGAGCAAACCGGGGATCGGGAGAGCTCAAGGAGGAGGGATCCAACTTTTGTGTCGGGTGGGAAAAACAGTACAGCACAGTGGGTGCGCTTCGTGCTCCGTGCACTTCGTAGAGCTTGGTGGTGGAGAGCAACGGGGGAGATGGAAGTTGGAGAGTCCCCAGGAAGGGAGCCCAATGCCTGTGCCAAAGCCTCTGCCTCCAAGCCAACTGACTTACTTTCTACAGCCTATCTTACTGATGCCTGGTTTCAGCTGGGTTGGTCCAAGGGAAAGAAGCTTCCAACTCCAGCAAGAAGATACACAAAAATGAGGTCTCTCTTGCCTCTTCTTAAAAAGCAAACTCTTCCTCCACACCAAGGGTATTCCCTGGCATGAAGTAATGTGTGGAGTAACAATACCTGAAATGTCCCCCTTCCATGTCAGAACCTTCAACTGAGTACCTGCTGAGGCACTGGAGGGCAAAGCTCTGCTGGAAGCAACACTCAGAGGACACCACTCAGACCAGCTTGCTTTAACCCAGATCTGTCTGTATGTGGCATCCATGATGTAAACAAAAACTCCCAAAGCAGCAGCAACTGTAAGAAATGGGTTTCAAAAGCTTTCTCCAGATATGTGTTTTGAAGTTCCTGGAAAAAAAAAAAAATAAATAAAGAATGCAAAATACTTCCTGCCAATGCAGATATAATCAGTGAAAACTCCCGGGAGCCAAAATTAATATTCAATTACACAGTTGTAAATCCAGTGGAAGGGACTCATCCGTGCTAAACCAAAGCAATGCTGCTCATGCCATACTTGCTTTTATTTGCAGAGGGGCTTTTACTGAAAAGGGGACATAGGGAAGAAGGGGGTAAGACAAAAATGAGTGTTTGTTGTCTTCTCTCTGACCTGTGAGAGGTTTCTGGAGAAACGCAACGTTTAAAAGCTCTGCAGCATTCGTCCCTTGTGGGAAACCATGGGGTGGCAGTAGCTGCCAAAACTCTAGACAAACTGCATCATCACAGAATAGCAGGACTTCCTTCTGAACTGTCACTGTCTGCTCAAGTCCCACATCTGCGCTCAAGTTAGAAAACGAGCACCCCCCTTCACAAAAAAGAGTCACCACAAACAGACATACAAAACCACCAAACCAAAACGATAACAAAACCAACCACAAAACACTAGAGAACCCATCACCCCCCAAAAAATACTCCACAAGCCACCCAACAACCTAAGAAACCCAAGACTAACAAGGATGACACCTCATAAACAAAAACCTTACAGTCACCCCCCACATAATGCTGATGCCATGAAAAAAGCATGTATTATGAGTAATATTTACACTTTAGACCTCTTAAACACACAGGGGGTTTTAACTGCATGGGAAAGAAATAATGTTCCCAATTGGTAAGAAAAGCAATGGTCTCTACCAGAATATAATAACCCTTCAGTCACGTCAAACTGTCCATATTCTACAGCATGTCTGTTACTAAATATAATGCTATTAATTTCTGTGTGTCACTCTTCCTTGTATTTTCAGCATGTGGCAGACTTCTCAATAAAGGTTGAAATTACATTAGACATTAACTTTCCAGACTGACATTTTCTTGAATGACAATATTCTATATAGGCAACTGTAGTAACATTTATGAATTAATTCCTCCCCCCAAGAGACTGACCTGAATTTTTGCACTGCTCAGTACTTCCAATAAAAGTGGAAGTATGAAACATATGTAAGAGGGAGAAATGTGCCTCCTGAGTGAGTCTTACCGTGAAATACATCTGAAAATGGAAAACAAACAAATCTGTTTCCACATACTCTCAAACATACTCATGTAAAAGGTAAGTAAAAACATTTCTGTTGCTCAGGATTTGGAACTTTCTTAGAGGAACTGGGTGACACTGAGCAATGCACAATCAGTTTTCCCTGCTGAAAAGTCCTATGTTAAAACTGTTTTAGCCGACAAAGCAATAAAATTAGATGTGAAGACAGCTGTCAGAAACCCAAGCCAAATGAACGTTTTTCTAGCAGCCATCATTCTTCCTCCAAGCTTGAGTACTGCAACGCAAAGCCATTGGGTTACCAGCTGCCTAACAATGAAAGAGCAAATGGAAGAAAGGACTTGTGGAAAAGAAAAACAAGTCTGAGCACAAATGCAGCATGCCCCAGTTACAGTCATGCTCTGAATCACCTTCTGGAGGAGCTCTGTCCCTGTTGACTAGGGGTTTCCTTACCCAGCTACCAACTGCCTTCCTGGAGAGGATGTGAAAGGCAGAAGCCACCTTCTGCCTCTCACTGTTGTAGTGCAGCTTTTCTAGTGCAACTGTAGTGAAGCTTTTTTAGCGCACCTCACCATGTCATAGTTTTCATACAATATTTTAATTAGAAAACAGACAAAAAAACCCAAACAATTTTATTATTTAAAATTATAATAGAAGACAATGCAACAGCTAAAGCCATCAATTTATATCAATTTAGTTGATGATTAAGTAAATGAACTATATATTTTAAATACTCACTGGCATTAACATTTTATTAATCTTCTACTTATTTCTTTGATATATTTTTCTGTTCTCCCATATTATTTATAATCATCTCCACTATTTACAATTATATGTAGCAATTCATTACAGATCTTGCAGAACATGACAGCCACATTATACTGAAGTGTACTGATGATAAGTCAGAATCCTACTCTGAAACTGAAAAAAAAAAAAGGAATTAATAGGTTAAGTAAATGCCTGTGAAATGCAATTGCAAGGAGCCATGGTGTAGTTAAATTGGATGAGGCTGGAAATAAAGCCAGCAGAAAGTTGTCCTTATTTCTAAATTCCAAAGCTTGATTGCATCTTTAGGCTGGAGTACCTTATATGAGGCACTGCCTACACACAAGGGTGCTTCACCTGCCTTCCCCCACCCCAGATCTTCAATTCTTTGTGAAATTCCAGGGAACATGGTATTTGTCATTGAAAAATGAAAACTGGCAAAGTTCCTTGTGTGTTATATTTATCAAAGGAAAAAAACAGCCTAGGGAAGCCAAGACTGGGGGCTCCTGAGACATGACACAGTAGAAAAAAAACAAGTGAGTGCTAATTGTATTGTCTAATTAGTAATCCACAGCATAACCCATGCTACATGGTTAAGTCATCGCCTTCCCTGGTGGTGGGGAGGGGATGTTAAAGGGAACAGTGCATACATATATCCGTGATAATAGGCTTCAGGTTTTTCTTTTCAAAAGAAAGGGGTGTTGGGGAGTGTGAAGAGACATTGCCACAGGGCCGGGGCTGGCATGTTTTAACTTGTGTTACCTCCAGCCGCAGCCCCGTGTTGCACACAGATCCTGTTTCAGCTCTGAACCAAACAGTTGCACTTTCTCTCAAAGTCCTAAATTGAGATCCTGGAGCACACCAATCTCTTGTGTTCTCATCATCTTCTCAGTTCTCTACTCCTCCCACAGGTGCTCAAAAGACTTCAAAGCAACATCGCTCTGCACAAGCTTCTGATACCACAAGCTGCTCCACTTCTTGCATCTTTCTGGGTCCAGACAGTTCCAGCAAAGAATCTGCCAATACACTTTTAGGGCTGAGGTTGATCTGGGGCTCCTTCCCCAGGGTGTCCCTCAGACCCTCCATCCCACAGAGAAACTCAAGCCTGTCCTCTTCCATATCCTAGCTTGCTCCACAGATGTCTTCCCCATCTCTTTTCTGCTCCTCTTCCAAACTCCTTCCACCTTTCCATGTTTTCCAAAGCTCTCCTTAGCACTGGCACGTGGATGTTCAGCAACCTGCTTAGCATTGCCTCTGTGGCAAAACACATTCATAGAATCATAGAATAGTTAGGGTTGGAAAGGACCTTAAGATCATCTAGTTCCAAACCCCCTGACAAGGGCAGGGACACCTCACACTAAACCATGTCACCCAAGGCTTTGTCCAACCTGGTCTTGAACACTGCCAGGGATGGAGCATTCACAACCTCCTTGGGCATTCACAACCTCCTCCATTCCAGTGCCTCACCACCCTTACAGTCAAGAACTTCTTCCTTATATCCAATCTAAACTTCCCCTGTTTAAGTTTTAACACGTTACCCCTTGTCCTGTCACTACAGTCTCTAATGAAGAGTCCCTTCCCAGCATCCTTATAGGCCCCCTTCAGATACTGGAACGCTGCTATGAGGTCTCCACACAGCCTTCTCTTCTCCAGGCTGAACAGCCCCAACTTCCTCAGTCTGTCTTCATACAGGAGGTGCTCCAGTCCCTTGATCATCCTTGTGGCCCTTCTCTGGACTTGTTCCAACAGTTCCATGCCCTTTTTATGTTGAGGACACCAGAACTGCACACAATACTCCATGTGAGGTCTCACAAGAGCAGAGTAGAGGGGCAGGATCACCTCCTTCGACCTGCTGGTCATGCTCCTTTTGATGCAGCCCAGGATACGGTTGGCTTTCTGGGCTGCGAGTGCACACTGAAGCCGGCTCATGTTCATTTTCTCATCAACCAACACCCCCAAGTCCTTCCTCACAGGGCTGCTCTGAATCTCTTCTCTGCCCAACCTGTAGCTGTGCTTGGGATTGCTCCGATTCCTTCAAATGCAGTCATACTGACTAAGCACATTGGGTGCAACTGGCAATGTTTGGGCAGTGGCCTGCCAGAAGGTGGCTGTGAGCTGTCCAGCACTAGTCCCATCCATTTCCAGCCAACTGTCCTCCAGAACTCCAGTCAGGCTGTTTTGCCCACAGTGCTACAAGGACACACATATAATGCAAGTGGAACTGTTCTGACCAATCATCTCCTTCAACCAGCCTCAAACTCCCAGACCCAAAGTACCCGCTTTCACAGGAGGCAATCCCTTAGGAATTGTCACCTTCCGCTTTTGATCCACTGTTCCTCTAAATCAGGAGTGGATCCCATAGGCCTTTTACCCTTCCAGAACCTTCTCCTAGACACTGCCCTTTTTATTCATGACCCAGGGGTGCTCTTTGGCTCCCTGCAATTACTAACACCAGAGGTATTAGCAATGCAAGATGGTGGAAAGGATTACTCACCTGTTTCTGTTGTAATTCAAGTAGCTTTGTCAGTGCTGATTCATATCACCTTTTCTGGAGAGGTGCAGGATATTACATGCTGTTTATAAAAGAAGGTATTGCCTCAGGCTCTGTCCATACTTACATTTTTTAGTGCCCAATGCTGAAATAGTTGGAATGAATTTTTGATCTATCCTGAATATTTGCTTCAATTCCAGTTAAAGTTCAGTAAAGGGTCTTTCCCATTCATAACTTGCAGCCGGCACATGATGCCACTTCTGAGGGACTGTCACACACCAGCAAGGTAGTGGTTTTGTAAAGAAGACTAAACAGTGAGAACAGTGCTCAGCTCCCCAACAGGTGTTCAAACTTTAGTTCAAGAAGAATGCAGATACTGAGCTGCTTTCAGGTGCTCTACATACTGACAGAGACTGTGAAAAAAAAGGTCTTGGAATGACCTAGTCAATCATACTGAGTCCCAAGGGACAGGGAAATGAATGCAGTACCTCTAAACTAGTTACAGTTCTTGGGTACAAGCTCCCATCATTCAAAAAGGGTAAATCTTTCCATTTGTAATCAGAAAGTGCCTAGAGATGGAAAAATAGGGAAATGCCCAAGTCGCGTATCTTCTCTTACAGCATGGTTATCTAAGCCAGCAGAGATGACTTAGTCTCCACTGACCTTGCTTCTCCTTCCTGGCACAGGAACACAAGCCTCATGAAAATTTTGGGAAATGCTATCCCAAACATTTCCTTCTATTCTTTATCTATAACATTTGTTTAGGCTGAAATGTTCAGGTAACACATCAGTAACAAAACTTTGTGTCAGCAGAAAGAGGGCTTCATCTTGCTGCAAGTCTTTAACACTCCCATAAAATAAATAATCAACAATCACCTGGAAGATGCAGGACAAATAGCTATCTCCAGTATAGAAAAGCATGCCCTGAAAGAAAGAAATCTGTCTAAACAGAAGTGCCTGATTATCTCTTTTAGCAGTCTCTTCAGAAAAGAAAGAAAAAAAACACAGACAAAAAAAAAAACAAACCACAAAACACAACAAAACCAAAACTTTCCAGATCTATGATGCAGTTTTCTCTGAAACATCTGTCATTTTAATCTAACTGGCAAAGATTGCATTAAGAAACAGCCAGTTTGCAGGGGCACTGCACAAGTACCACTAAACAACTTCACAAAGAAACTTGAAGCTTTCACTTCTAAGTCTCTGAAGCAATCAAATTGAGTTGGACACAGTTTGATTCTAGGGGCAGGAGAGACCTTTACATTTTTATTTTGGTAAATTGCAGTATCTATCATCTAGTACACCCTCTATACTACCTCAATAGATATTCAAACTGTTATTGAACAGCTAGCCTGTGTTTTGAAAAGAATAGGTCCACCTACTAAAATGTTCTGGAAGCAGTTTTATGTTTCTCTTAATGCTAGCTTTTACTGATCTTCCCCTAAAATCAGTTCAAATATGATACGTAGCCCACATATGGTAGTGATTTATTTAAGAAAGTCAGCAAACCCTCTCTCACATGGCATCAAAATCAATGAAAACGCTCTAAAAGGACTGCAAGGGTTTCCAGATGACTGGCATTGTTCCACCTAGTTTCTGCATTCCACCAGAGTTTAACTGGAAATCTACCTCATCTATCATTTTCTTCCTTTCTGTGACTAAAACTCCATTGTTTTAATTACTTTTTTTGTAAGAGGCCATAATACACATACCCCAAGAAGACAAGGGATTGCTTTAACAGGTCATCTTCTGCAGATATTTGCACTGATGTTCTTCAAGGCATTCCTGAAGCAACAGCCATATAATTGATTACTCTCTCAGTGTATAGAAGAGATTTTGTAACAACAGCTCATTCTCTACTATTGATTCAATGTTTAATAATTCTGCTTTGCAATAGTTTTGTCTTACCACTGTGAGTAGTTATAGTTTACCTATCCGAAGGAAAACTCCTCAAATGCAAGGGGCAAAAGTCCCCCACAGAGTCTCACTGACAGAGGCAGACAGACCTTAAATCAGATCTTAGCTACACAAGAAGCGAAGAGGTTTCTCCATAGTGTCTGCAGTGTCATATAGTAGACCCAACGTATGCAAGCTTTTTTAATTTTGACTGCCTCCATTCAGCTGCAGTCAAGTTTTTTCTCTCCTAATTTTTTTCATGCTACTTTGCAGACAGGATTGCCCAAATCTGGACTGAGCTGTCTACTGCCATGGAAACAGAAGAGTACTCTCAAGAGATAAACACTGCATCTCCTCTGCTTGTGCTCCAGTCTCGCTTGCAAAAGTTAGAGGTGCTGGCACAGATTTCTGCTATAACCTGTAAACTGGACCATTACCCTACCTGACAGGATATAGACAGACGGGAAACGCCAGATCCATCATGGATTGCATCATCAGCACTTCCTCCTCAGAGGCGAGGTGCCAGTGAGCCTTGAAGAGCTGTGCAAGGTCATGCTGAGATACAGAAGTCTTGACAAAAGCAGCCCTAAGTAACTCTCAGTTAGTAGCCCATCTCAGTATAAGGAAAATAATGTGAGGTTGTAAAACTGAAGGTTGGAGTCTCTGCATATTTTCGAACAAGTCAGCTTATATATCTTAAGCACAGAGTAAAACCACAGTGCACTGTTACACTTTGTAGTCAAAGAACATACTGTGTCCACACTAATCTTGTAAACATTTCTGCAGCATTTGGTACCCTTGAGAGCTTTTCCCCATTTGTTTCTGACTGCAGTGCTCTAGTTGCTGCATGCCTGCCTTAAAGGGGGAAAAAAAGGGCTGGTTTGGAGCAATGGTGGGAAGGTAGTGGCTGTTGCTGCAGGTGCTAAGGGGCACTCTTGCCGAGCACACCATCCAGGCCGGGGAATGCAGGTACAACACAGCCAGCAAGACACCCACCCTGGCCACATGCCTGTCCTGCGCAAGTGGGGTGTAAATGGAGCTGGAGAAGAGAAGTGCCTAGGCTGGAGGAAACAGGGACGTTGGGACACCAACAGTCTTATCTAAGGCCTTGTCTACCTCTTGCAGTAGGAGCTTGGAACAGAGAATTGTTAGGTCCTGGACTGATCTGATCTGCCAAACTACTGAAACTACAGTAGGGATCGATTTCTAACATCTGTGTCCCACAGGAAGAGTGAATACCCTCCTAACTTTTGCTAGTCCTTTCAGCTATGGTGATACCCCTAAGCCTTTACATATTCAGGAGAAAGACACATGCCTTTAAAGGTCTGGAAGACCCTGCTTTTCTGCAGAGCAAGCAGACAGCCTAAAGCCTGTAGCAGTACAGCAGAAGTGCCTAAAGCAGCTGCCTAAAGCTAAGCAGCCCACTCCTGCCAGTGACTAATGGAGACCTTGCCACAGCTCCCCATGGCTGTTTCTTGCAACTGGGCTGCTGCAACACCTTCTTCGTCCCCCTACACCTTGAACGTATGCAGGCTAAATGACCTGAGTTTTATACCCCTCTGCAGAAGGTATTTTCACTTCACGATCACAGTACACAAGCCGCAGCATGGGTACAAGCTTACTGCCAGTCTCCGGTGGGAGCTTAGGGGTGTCAGTTTTGTAACCTTCACCATTCCACTTAGCAATTTGGCAGCTAGCAGGACTGGCAGAGAGACAGAAGCCAATCTGCCACTGACATAGTGAGGAGTGCTATTTACATACGCAGAACAGCTACTGGCAAGGCATTCACACAAGGAACTCCCATACTGCCACTTTGTTCCACTTGGGTTCTCAGCTGCTCTTTCTCAAGATGGAGGTTAACAACAAGAAGACATGCTCAAAAACAATGACAACAAAGTCTTGCCCATTACATCTTTAGTAAATGTTGACTGTCAAAATGGAAGAAGCATTCCCATATCATGTACTAATTATTTTTTCATAAAGCCAAGAATGCCACATGGGAGAGTCAAATGACAAACTTTTTAAAAGAGAATGGATTCTAAATATCTTCTGTTTGGGAGTTGCCTAAACAAAGAAAATCCTCATAATATTTTAAAGCCCTCCCTACTTCAAGCTCTACCTCTGCTAACCTATGCAGAGATGAAGATTTGCTCTGACTTTTCAATGATCTTTTAATTCAACAAATCATTATCATTGATATTTAATAAGCAAGAGGCAACCCGAGATGGTTGTGGTTACGTTAAATATTAGCTGCTTGCATCATTAACATAATATTCCATCTCCCATCCTCATCTCTGTCTTACACCTTTTCCAACTCAGACTTTACATTTTCTGAGGCAAGGATTATATCCCAGTGTAACAGCTTGTACAGGGCCCAGCTCAGCCCATGATTTAGTTTTTAGGCACTTCAAAGCTAGAAAGCACATTAATAAAACAGTAACTGACATATGTCCCATCTCAAAAAGCTTCAGCATCAAAAGGAGAGGTAAATGGAAGACAAAATGCAAAAAGAGATGCTCTGAGAGCAGAGCTGCCATCTTAAGCCTACCTTTAAGTTTTCCCCCACTACTGTGACTGAAAGATTGCTACTCCTCCTCCAGAAAAGGAAGCTCTAGTTTAAAATCTAGCAGTATCATAAGTAATGTGAATATTACACTGATCTGGGGGGGGGGGGGGAAGGAGAGACCATTACTTACCAGGTTCATTTACATTTTTTAATAAATCCTTGGCTTACGCTTTTAATATTCACTTTGAAAATTGCTCAGGAGGTTCCATGCGTCAGCTCACATCCTACAGCCACCCAGCCCTTGCTCTAGGCAACACTTGTTCAAGAACACAGATGGGCAAAAAGGCCTGTGGTTGATTACCTCTCCTAAGGGAAGAGTGTTGCTGTGTCCTGTTGTGGGAATAGGACATTCAGCTTCACAATACAGAATTGTCTTAAGGCACTTCCAGTACTGCAAAGATATGACACCAGCCTCCAC